AACTGATAATTCTCTAAGGTTTAAACAGAACAATTTGTGTCTTAACCTCTAAAGCACATTTTGAGTATATCCTTTAAAAGCTTATTGTTTTTAATGGAGAGGAAGCATACTATTTAAAGAAATAAAACTTCTTTATTTTTAAATTCACTCTTGCTAAATATATTCACTCTTATCTTACTGATATGAAACTGTTCTAGGTGTAAACACATGCACAAAATGAAGATTAATGTTATTTAGCATGTGAATTATGTTGGCATATAAAACCCTCCCTCCCAATATTTAATAATATTAGGCAGTGTTCAAATATTGGAAGTCTCTGGGGTCTTGTTAAACATTATACCTCATCTTTGCATATAAGACCCAGGAGATGTTTTTGAGCCATTGTGTTGTGTATGGGGAGTCTCTTATGCTATCAAATATGCTAGTATTCATCTTGAAAAAAACATTTGGCTCATCTCTCATTATTTTATGCACTGAGCTAGACCTAAAATATATATATACTTAGCAATATAGAAGGAAGTGAAAAACTTGGCTGCTATAGAAATTATAGCATAATTTATAAGATGTCCTCAATAACAAGTTTAGCATTTTTGTCTAAGTTAACAAATACAATGTACTTTGAGTTCTTATTTCATTATCTGCAATGACAGTAACATCCTGTGTTATGATGTGTTTTAAAAGAGATGAAAACCAGATGGGCTCCTGATAGTCTCAGCAAGTTCTGATGTTTCTGTTTGCTTCCAGATGTGAGTAGTTATACACACACACACACACACACACGGTTCCTTTCTCATATTAACACTTATCAATTATAACCACTGTACTAATTGTGGCAAAATTACTATAACAGTACATATATTTATATAACATTATAACAGTACATATATTTATATAACATTATAACAGTACATATATTTATATAACATTATAACAGTACATATATTTATATAACATTATAACAGTATATATATTTATATAACATTATAACAGTACATATATTTATATAACATTATAACAGTACATATATTTATATAACATTATAACAGTACATATATTTATATAACATTATAACAGTACATATATTTATATAACATTATAACAGTACATATATTTATATAACATTATAACAGTACATATATTTATATAACATTATAACAGTACATATATTTATATAACATTATAACAGTATATATATTTATATAACATTATAACAGTACATATATTTATATAACATTATAACAGTACATATATTTATATAACATTATAACAGTATATATTTATATAACATTATAACAGTACATATATTTATATAACATTATAACAGTACATATATTTATATAACATTATAACAGTACATATATTTATATAACATTATAACAGTACATATATTTATATAACATTATAACAGTAGTACATATATTTATATAACATTATAACAGTAACATATATTTATATAACATTATAACAGTACATATATTTATATAACATTATAACAGTACATATATTTATATAACATTATAACAGTACATATATTTATATAACATTATAACAGTACATATATTTATATAACATTATAACAGTACATATATAAAAGTACTATAACACATTTTAATGTTGATTGCTGTAGCATCCACAAAGTTATTTGATACTGTTAAGGTTAGTGAGTGTTGCCTGGAATAGTCTATAAATTGGTGGCTAATATTTATTAGCTCAAGTCATTTTTTATTTATTTGCTGTATAGTATAAATGTAGAATTGAAAAGGGTGAGAAAAAGTTATAAAGAAATCTCATTTCAGTCATTTTTATTGTTTTTTTTTGTTTTTTTTTTCCATTGTGTCTATCTTGTGATCATTATGAAAATATAGTTAATTTGTCTTTGCTAAATGAAATTGACAGGAGATTTTTTTTTTTTTCATTTTAAGCTTGAATTATACTGAGGAATTATCAGTTTTTAACACAATGATCAAATTTTGTCATTTAGTTATACGAAAAAAAAAAAGGGGTAATAATTCACATAAGCAACATAAAATAAACTTCCCCTATTTATTTCATCCCTATCATGTAACAGACCAAGTACTCCACAGTCAATTGTCAATGAATAATTATCATGAAAAGATTGTTTTGTAAGAAGATCGGTGCTTATTGGTGCTTGGCAATCATATTAGGGACTCTACAACTGTGCTATGCTGGTTAGCATAACGACTTATTCAAAACAGCCCACATTGCAACCAGTGCAGCTGGCCATATGGGTTAAATGCCTATCAAGATACAACAGATGGTCAAGAACAGTCCAGTATTTCAGCATTTATTTTCTGTGTAGCCCATAATTACCTGTTGTAATAAGTTTTATTTGTAATAAATGTACATACCTTGGTCTTATTGATATAACACCACTCAGGAAATGGCAGTTTATTTTATGCCACGTAATTGAATAGTTACCAAAAAATGTGCTTGAAATTTTTGATTTCTTCATAATCCTTAACTCCATGAAAAAACCAGGAGATATGAAACAATTTGAATAAAGTGAATTTATTTTTATATTACTAATGCTTACCAAATACAAGGTTCTAGGGCTACAGTGTGGGGTGTGTGATATGAATGTCAGAGGAAGTGGGAAGTGAAAGTTATGAGGATGAGGAGGATAGATAATGATTTACCATAGATTTGAAAAGGTTAAGATTGTATTGTTCAGGGAAACATCTACATGAGAGTCTGTTTCACAAAGTAGCAGTTCTTAGGAAGAAGCTTCATAAATGAAATGTTCTCCTTGAAATTGAGATACAGAGGAAATGAAGGTGATTAAACTCTGTGGATGTAGCATGATGTGTCCAAGCAGTAAATATCCAATCTGGTACAATGGCAATAGTGATTGAGTAGCAAAAGGCTTACAACATTTTATCAGTAGGAAAGGGGCTGTACAATCGGAAAACTGGAAATTAAGATTTTTTTTTTTTTTTTTTTTGAACAATGTTATTCACTCTGCATCAGGCCCAAGAGCCACTTGAGGTTGAGGGTTACAAAGTAAGAGGCACCAACCCAAGTAAGTTGATAATGCCAACAAGACACAAGGGGCCACCAGAAGTAAAAGAATTTAGAGGGAACTGGAAACCAATCCTAAACAGGAAACAAGGGACAAACCTCTACTCCTGTTCAAAAAAACTCGGGAGGAGTGTGAACTGAATAATAAGTAAACCTATGTACACCTATTGAGGAAAAAAAATGTCAGTAAATAGTAAATAAAATTTCAGAGTTTTAGGTGGAGATGTTAGAAGTATAGAGTTGAAGTCGACTTTAGAAGGAACCAGAAACCCAATCCTAAACAGGAAATTAGGGATAAACCTCTACTCCTGTTTAAAAGAACAGGGGGAACTCAACTTTGTGGATGTAGTATGATGTTATCTGAGCTGGTACCATGGAAATAGTGATAGAGTAGCTATAGGCTCATGACTTTTCATTTGTTGCAATAAGGTTGTAGGGTTGAAAATGTCATCCCTCACAAGGCTGTGTAATTGATTTTGTACATTGTTAAGGCTGGAAAGTAAGAATTGGGCAGCTCTCATCTAGATATGATAGCAGTATTCTATTTTAGCTCTGATGTGACACGATAAAGCATAGCAGAAGTCAGAGCAGTATAATGAGCCAGGCATTTTTCCTGCATTTTTAGCAACCGATTGTAAGCTCCACTTGAACAGCTTCTACCCATGAACTGCTACTTTGTGAAACTGACTTCCAAGAAGATCCTTCTCTGATCACTACAATCTTAACTTGCTCAAGTCTAGTATTAACTGTTATCTGCCTGCATATCCTCATAAAATATGGCTCTTATGTTGTGACTTGAGTGGCTCTTGGGCCTTGTATTGAGTGAATATTATTCAAAAAAAAAAAAAAATGATATTTTTTTTAAAATTACATGATTTGGTTTTTATAATATTGTTGTGGCCTTGTTAAGGCCAGAAATAGACACAAGAGAGGAATAGAGTTAAACAAATATATTAACAGAAACAGTAATACAAACATATACAAATGAGTGTTACAACGAGAATGTTCAGTCCGACTGTCAGGGCTGACTGCTGGAAAATTACCCCTCCAAAAGGCAGTACCTGCTCCTATTTATAGCTGGGAGAGTCCATGCGTGTGTGGGTAAATTACTATCACAAATGTAAAGTTTGTGATTTTTGAGAAACGTAAGATTTTATTACTTGAAGGAAAGAGATAAAATAAAACTTTGTTTACCATTTGTACTTAACAGATGGTATTCAGGTAAATCACTGAAAATGGAGTGAGTCTACCCAAACCAATCTGAAATAATTGTGCCTGTCCCTCTCTTCATTAGTTTATACGACTGTTACACACTGCTAATATCTCATAAATAATGGACTATTGGTAGTGTGGAAAAATGGGAATAGACACTACTTGGTTTCAGTGAGAAAATGAAAGACAGAAGTGGAGAGAAAGAAAATGAGATTAAGCTGATAAAAACAGATACTTCACTTTGATCTTAGCCAAAAGTCCAAAAAGTGATAATATTTTCTTGAGGCCCCACACTGTCAGGATTTAACACAGCCAATTTAATGTGAGGAGCCAGAGTGCATGTACACAGGCTGGGTTCAAAAATAGCCTAGACTCTTGATTACATTGACAATGGTATTACTAACAATCCCCTCTCTTTATTGTGATGATGGAGATACTGCTGTGGGCAGCTGTTTCTCGAGACCAGATACCTCCCAATAAAATTTTCAGTTACGCTCTGTCCAAAGACAGAAAACAACATAGTTGTGCTCTGCCTAAGAACAACATAGTTGTGCTCTGCCTGAAGATAACTGAGAGATGAAGTATAGTTTATCTGCTCAAGAGCAGATACTACACTTTGATCTAAGCCAAAAGGTTGAAAAGTTATGGTGTCTGTAATAAAATGGTCATTTTTCAGATGGTTTCTATAGTAATTCAAGTTTCTAGCCCCCATGCCCAACCATTTCTTTTTTTTTTTACCAGCTTTTTACTTACAGCACCTGATGTTCCTATGTGGTCCCCCATCTAAGTATTAATCAGACTTGACACTGCTTAACTTTCGTGATCAAATGAGAACTGGTTTTTCAGTGTGATTTGACTGTAAGTTTATTTTATCTCGTTCCCACCCTCACAGAAATGTGAATTAATCCTTGAGGGTGACATTAAAAATTATTCATTAAGTAGTAGAAAAAAAAGCTGCAATTTTTTTTTTTTTTTTTTTTTTAATACAAATCTTGTGGTTTGGCTGATGTTGAAGTGTGAAATTAAAAAATGAATATTGAGCCAATGCAGTTGCATTGGTATTAGAAGAAATATTGGGGAAAGGTAAATGACAGTCCCAGCCAGATTTGTTGACTCTTTCACAGTCTATTCAGTTTTGAATGACTTACTTAGCAAGGACTTTAATTTAAAGCAAAGAGTCTCTGCAGTTTCAATATTTCTTGTTAGAAAATTGTAACTACTGTTTGCTGTTTCTTGTCCCCAACCGTCAATAAAACCATTCTTCGTCTGAAATCTTTGCTAAGGATGAAACATGTAATGTAGGAGGTTTTTTCTGTTTTGTCATTCAATTACCTGATATGTAGATTTATGTGTCTTATATTGCAATGACTTAACTGAATTATTTTCTTATTTGTATTGTTTAATTATTTTTGTGTCCTTTGTGTTATATTTTGGGTGGTACCATATTCATTTTTTTCCCCTCCAGAAAGTAAGTTTGGATTGAAATAACTCAGGGGAGATGATTGAATTGTTTTTTGAACAAGATTACCTACCTTTTTTTTAAGGCTCTTCTTATTGATTAGAAAATTTACTTAGATGCATCTTTTTCCTCTGACTGTCACCTCGCTCTTTCTGAGTAACTCACTTGCCAATACTACTTGTCATTTCTTAAAAAGAACAACTGTTATACCTGACTCAATACAATTATCTCTTTCTCATTACTTATATGTCTTTGTCCTTCTCATTACTTACTTCAATGTGTCTTTGTCCTTCTCATTACTTACTTCAATGTGTCTTTGTCCTTCTCATTACTTACTTCAATGTGTCTTTGTCCTTCTCATTACTTACTTCAATGTGTCTTTGTCCTTCCTTACTTCATTACTTTGTCCTTCTCATTACTTACTTCAATGTGTCTTTGTCCTTCTCATTACTTACTACAATGTGTATTTGTCCTTCTCATTACTTACTACAATGTGTATTTGTCCTTCTCGTCATTTTGCTGAATGTGTCTTTGCCCTTCTTGTCATTTTGCTGAATGTGTCTTTGCCCTTCTCGTCATTTTGCTGAATGTGTCTTTGTCCTTCTTGTTACTTAGCTGAATATGCCATTCCTCTTTCTCGTCACTTTGCTGAATAAGAAGGGTATACTATAAAATTAGTGTTTTTATAATGCATATAATCATTATTATAAAAAGTAATGTTGGTTTGTAATTCTCTGAAATTTTTTTTCTTTGGCTTTTTACACATTTAATGGTATATTACAAAGTACACTAAGCATTTACATTATTTCTTCAATATATCTAGAAAGAATTTGAGAGAAACTTGGAAATTGAGGCATCAGTAATTTTCCTTTGATTTTTTTTTTTTTTTTTTTTTTTTTTTAAGCTGAAATTTTTACTTGTGCAAGCAATGTTTCCAATTACTCTCTGCAAGATGATTGCAAGGTTAACATTCAAAACCATTTAGATTTGCAGTAGTTTTATAATATGAAAAAATTTCCTAAATTTAAAATTTGATCAGATGTGTACTGTGTACACAAGCATAGCATAGAATTTATTTGTGTTTTGTATAAATCAATTCACTGAATTTGAGATTTAAAAAAGTAAGAGTAAAATATTTCAAATTTCTATCAATTTTAAGTAGGAGATTAAATTGATGATGAGAAAGTAAACGGTGATAGTGGCAACATTACTTAGAAGTTTTGAATAATTCATTGACACCAGTGGAAATTATATGACAATATAAAGAAATATAAATTTTGGCTAATGAGAAAGTGAAAAAACTAATAAAAGGAAAGTAAATCATAGCATTAGCTATGTTAACCTCTTGATAAGTAAAGTCTTGATACCAAAAGTTTAAACCAATGAAAGAAGGAAAGAAAATAACTAAAACTTAAGACATTAAATTAGATACCGTATTAAAGATTAACTGAGTGTAAACATAACTGATATTGGTATACCAAGAAACATTTGGCTAAGTAATTTAGAAGCCAGAATGTGAGGTATGGGACCATAGTGGTAGTGGAGGAAAGCCAAAACTTGGGAATTGAAGGAACTGTTTAGTCTTTAATATCCCTTATAAGGAAAGCAGTAATCACTCATTCGAGGACCAGTTCTTGTATAATACCAGTAGAATAGTTGGGGAACGATTCATAGCGGAGTCATATATGATAAAGCTTGTGGGCTAACCTTATATTTATTGATTCACTCATAACATCTTGAAATAAAAATTCTTGGCATTTATTTACATATCTAATGCATTTACATTTAATGAAAAACACTCACTCAAAATTCAGTAGGAATTATTTCAATGGATGGTATTCTTTTTTTATTGTTAAGCACTAGAAGAATTAATCTGAATTTTTTTTTCTTGTGTGTGTGTGTTTATGAGAATGTGTTAATAATTTCCTGTTATTAAGATAGTTTAAAAAGTTAATTCTTGAATATATATTTTTATGGGAATATTTTGGCAGATAACAAAAACAAAACTACATAAGCATTAATACCTTTGCAAATTAATTCAGTAAAGTGCTTATGGCCACATCACATTAAAAAAAAAAGAAAATGGTTTCCTATACAATCATCAAAGTTAAGCAACATCAAGTCTAGTCAGTAACTTGACGTGTCACCACTTGGGAATATCAGTTGCTGTAAGCTTGGATGTGCCAGTGGTGTAATAGATAATGACTTGGAATTGTTAATCAGAGGGCTGAGTTTCAATTCCAGTTGGGTTTGTTATATTCACATCGTCACAAATAACCTTAAGAAAGGGAAATATTTTCTGGCTTTAAATAAGCTGCAAAGGATTGATAAGCCATAAAAAAATGAATCAAAGTAATTCAGTAAGCTAAGTAACAAAATGAATTTTTTTTTTTTTTTAATATTTTTTTTACTTTGCTCCAAAATATTAATGAAATTTTTATATTGTAAATTTTATAGATGGATTAAAAACATGCTGCATTAGGGTTTACTCTCAACAAATAAAAATATTTCAAGTGATACAAATTGTCCATGGTAAAACATAAATGTCTTGATTCACAAATTGATCAAGAATATTAATTATCATAGAAGTTATTTACACTGTTTACATTTGGACCATTGTCTTCATCTTTGTTGTTGTTATCACAACATTTCAGCTTTCACCAGGTGTATATCCAATCTGAGTAACCTACAGGGAATTTGGTGACATCATAATTGTGAGTTCAGTTCCTGGGCCAGGCAGTGTGTACTTGGACACAGTGGAAACAAGTCAAGCAATAACTGAGCTGTATTAAAAATAAGAACTAGAATGATATATCTCTTGACATAGGAAGTGGAATGAGAACAGTCTACCCCTGTAGATTAAATAAAGGGTTCAGTTTAGAATTCCCTGTAGGTTAACCAGATCAATATCCACCTGATGAAGGCTGGATGGTACACCAGCTTAAATGTGAAAACAACAAAGATGGGGACAATAGTATGAATGTAAATAGTGTAAATAAGGATAACTCCTTGTCCCAGAAATTCAGAGAAATCCTAAAAGTTATGTTGTTGCTTGGATTAAAATAATTTGAAAATTTTGTATATTTTTTTCTCACCACATTTACCAAAACAGTTAAAATTAATAAAAGATTAGAATAGTTACATGATGGACCTGAGATGACCTGTTTGAATTATTTTTCTTGATATTAGACAAAATTAAATTAGTTCAACTTTGTATATGTTGAAAAATTTACATGTAACCATTCTTGAAAAATGCCAAATTTTGTTTTAAAGCTTTAAAATAAATATTTCTTACCTATCAATTTGTTTTACTAGCTCTTAAAGGGAGATGATTTATGAAAGGTTTTCAAGCCCTTAGAAACAAAAGTTTTAACTGACGATAAAAGGTTTTGTCATGATTATGTCTGTGTCTTTCTATAAATACTTTCATGGTAATTGTTCTGATAAGCTTTTTCCTCTTTGGTACCTAAATGTGACAAAATTAAGCACAGTACTATATTTGTGGTGAGGTTTCATAATTTTACAGTTGAAATGGCTAGATGTACCCATAAGTTCTATGCTAACAGTTCCTTTTATTGCACTTCTTGCTTGTGGAACTCTCTTCTGGGTTCTTGCTTTCCAGTCAATTTTGATCTTCAAAAATTTGAATGCAATGTCAAGCATTATCTTGTCTTTTTAATTCTGTTCTTTTATTGTTCTCTCTCAATAATATTTTCTTTTTGTCATATTCTCTCACTCAGTAACCCTCTTGTATCTTATAGGCCTTATTGCCTTGCTTGGGGTGAAATAATTAAAAAAAAAAAAAAAAGCTCAGAAACTTATATGAGAATCTTCAGATGTTAATTAAATTTCTTTTTCAACACTATGAGAATGTGAAGGAAGATCAGACAACTTTGATTTTGTCCCATTTATCAGTGACTCGTGAAGTTCATTATATTAAAATAGCTCAGTGGTTGCCAGTTCACAAATGCTACTTTGTGATAAATTCATTAATTCTGACCTGTATGAGCTTCAAAGTTGATGTCTGTGATTTTATTCAACTCTGAATTAAAAAAAACAAAAAAAAAAACAATTTCTATTTTAATTTAAAATTTTTTTCCTATTTGTTTTTATTCCATTATTTTTCTGATGAATGGCAGTTAAAAATAAAAAAAAATAAAAAAATCTTACAAATCCAAATAACTAATTTAATCCCATTTTGCATGTTTACTTGCTAATGGAAAAATTATTTTTGAGAGCTTCTTCTTCTCACTTCCAGTTCATCTGACTTTAACATAGAATACAACCTTCTCAGGTAGCTGAGTGAAAGTATTCCTGAATGCAATACTGTGGATTTCTTCAGACTGTTGCTTAATTTTTTTGGATCATGTTGAATATATAAAGTTTCTG